GGCTCACCTTCTCTGCCCTAGGAGCTTGGGATGGCAGCGGGGGAGCTTCCTTCCGGGTGCTGGGACCGGCTCAGCTTCTTGGCCCTAGGAGCCTGGGATACAGGCAGGGAGCTTCCTTCTGGGTGCTGGGACTGGCTGAGCTTCACTGCCCTAGGAGCCTGGGATGGAGGCAGGGAGCTTTCTTCTGGGTGCTGGGACTGGCTGAGCTTCACTGCCCTAGGAGCCTGGGATGGAGGCGGGGGAGCTTCCTCAACCTGTACTATTTCTGTATCCAATTCCATATCCATTTCAATGTCCATTTTCTAAAAGTGAGAGACAGCTTTTCATTCTTATTAATAGCATCAACTCAAGCTGGAAGGACTAACTTAGGTTGGTGCCATTTCCTATTTGAGAATACTTACATTTTTTGTAGCTCTCTTGGATACTTTGGGAATTTCAATTTGTCGAAGATTCTGTGAAACTTCTGCAAGGCTTTTATGTCTTATTAGTGCATTTTTCCTTTTAAAAATAGAAAGAAACTAGTCAAGACATACCAGATAGAAGTACATGTAGTTAAATTTGAATGGAACCAGGGTCTAAAATAAAACCTTATTTTTTAAATTTATGTATACCAGAGATTGAACTCAGGACCCTGTGCTTGCAAGGCAGGCAGTGGCACCATTGAGCTAAATCCCCGGCCCATAAAACCTTATTTAAATAAAAGTCAATTGTCTTGCCGGGCGTGGTGGCACATGCCTATAATCCCAGCACTCAGGAGGCTGAGGCAGGAGGCTCACTGTGAGTTTGAGGCCAGCCTGGGCTACAAAGTGAGTTCAGGGCCAGCCTGAACTACAAAGGGAGAGACCCTGCCTCAAAAAAAAAAAAAAAAAATCAGTTGTCTAGGTACTGGCCTGGATTTATATCAAAATGAGTTAACACTAGAATTTTCAAAAATAACTACTATAAATTCAACTAGTTAAAAGCAATGAAAAGCATCAAGGAAAATTGGAAAAGTGAGCCAAAACACAAGGCTTATTTCATAAAAGCCTCCTAGTTCCTAGAGACCCCATGTGGACTGTAAAGAAGGGCTTTGTGAACTACAAAATAAGCACTATATTCCCACGGTAATAGTGGCAGATGCTGCTCGGCAGGAACTTGGATAGTTGGTTTCTGTGATTCAGACTTAAGGGTGACTTAATTCAGTTACATGGATGAAGACAGTAGACTATGTTTAAACTCGCCCTTTGAACCGTATGACTAACAGTGCAAATGATATCTTCCATGCCCTGTGTGCTCACCTCCTCTTCTTGGCTGATCTGGTCCGGAGCTCCTCCAGCTGGTCAGCTTCAGTGCTGCCTGAAACTGATCTGTGAGCACTTGATGGAAGAGGCACGGAAAGAAGTGGGGATTTACTCTCTTGAGTCATGGAGTCATCACTAAAAAAGTCTGTGGGAAGGATGCCAGCCAGCTTCTGAGGAATCTCAAACCCAAGGCTGTTGTAAAGCTTCCCAAGTGTCTCTGGGATGGAGTCAATGTACCTGTGGAGAAGATTGGTTAGGTATGGAACAGTCACCAACTCATATCTCTGTTCCTCTTCAACCAGCATGAGAAATGGTTCTCACAGTCCCATAACTTCAGATAACATCATGTGTACTTCTTGGTAAGACAACTTTAGTGTGAGTAGCCACCAGACTTACAATTTCAAAATCTCTTCCAGAAAATTTGCTAGGTATGCTGAATCCTCAGTTAGACACACTATGCGAAGCAAAGCTGTCACCTGAAAGAGATTTTAGAAAACTACCATGTGCCCTCTGCAAGGCCACTGAAAGCACAGGGGTCCATTCCCAATGGCACTGAGTACATATACTTGCCTCTTCCACTACTTGCTCCATCTCCTCTGGGTTTTCTAGTATGGAAGGGCACTGTAGACACATCTCCAGACGAAGAAACACCTGAAGCTGGCAACTTGAGAGACAAACAGACTCGGTCATGTCTATGTTGACTGCCCACTAACTGAAACCCTTCTTTCAGCACAGATATTTTATATAAGAAATAAAAGATCAGGAAGAAGAGTCATCGCTTTCTGCAAACACTGATGTCTTGTTAGGTAACAAGTGACATATTAGGACATCTTAAACCATCAGCTACAGAAGGATCTCCAAGCAACTGGCAATCTTAAATAGATTCCAACAAATGTTACAGCTTTGTTTTAGAGTAAAATTTTAAAATTAAGTAGAAGAAAGTTACTTACTCTCTGACTTTGTCTTCCTTATCCAGTTTTTTTCCTAGATTCTGTCGAAGATTTTTGCTAGCTTTTAAGAGGTTACTTTTTATGTGATTCAGGCAGTTCACCTAAAAATACACAATTATTATATAGCAGGATACTAAGTTACTTATCATTATTTCTAATTTCTTTCACAGCTGACTAATGCCCTAAGAAAGAACATATACCCCCTTACAAATTTCCCTTTTCCTTCATTTGAATGAAAAATAGTGAAATGAGGGCCAGGGATTTAGCTCAGTGCTTTCGCGGCCTGCTGCGCAGGTGCAAGGACCCAAGTTCAATCCCCGGTACCAAAAAAAAAGAGTAGTGAAATGAATATCATTTTTTAATATCGCTAAAAAGAACATGGTCAAAAAGGATTTGTGAGCATGTGGACATGGACATGGCAACCTGCAAGCTGAACTGTCCTAAAAGGAATGTTTCACAAAATGGAGATAGAGAAGTGTAAGTATTATAAACAACTCCTGTTTACTTTAGAAGGACCCCTGCTTTTGCCAATAAACATGAACAAAAATAATGAAATCTTGGTCTACAATAGTGGTTTACAGCACTGCCAGGCATAGCATCTAGGGAGTTTTAAAAATTATAGATGACCAAGTCCCAACTCAAGCTGTTAAAAAAAAGAAAAAAAAAGCAATGAGGGTTAAAAACCAATAGCTTGGGCTGGGGATTTAGCTCAGTGGTTCCGCTGCCTGCCTTGCAAGTGCAAGGACCTAAGATCGATCCCTGGTACAAGACAAAAAACAAAAAACTAATGGCTTGATTTGTGCAGCTACCATGCAGTTCAGATGAGGACAGAGGACAGGTCTTTCACTAGGTGAGATACATGTAATTATCCCCACTCACCCATTTCTTGCCCATCTTCTAAGAGCTGGAATTGCACTCCTCCCGTGCTCATCTATCCATATTTGGCTCATGGACAGCACAACAGACACTTTCCAAGACATGTGAACAAACCCACCACCAACCAAGCAACCACTGCATCTATTAATAACACTCAGACTTTCTTACTTCTACTTCCTTGGCGCCTTTCAATTTTAGGAACACTTTAATAGTTGAGATCATGTTCTGAGCACATGAATATAAAGTGACTTCCCCTGTGGCCACAGCCTTTTGGTAATTTTCATGTATGTAGGACAGTAGCTCCTCCTCAGTTTTAAAATCTGTGAAAAAAAACCCCTAAAATTAATTACCACATTCAAGTTATGTAAGCCAATGGTTGTCAACTGGGGGAAGATCTTGCCTCCGAGGGGATATCTGACTAGGTTTTGTTGTGGCAAGTTACTGCTGTTTATGATTCCAACTGTATCATACTGTGGAAAAGGAAAAACTAAGGAGATGGTAAAAAGTGGTTTCCAGGGATTAGGGAGAAGGCAAGAATGAATAATTGGATCACAAATGATTTATTTCTACGAATTTCCTATTTCTACACATTTTGAATATTCAACATCCTTAGTAATTCTGTTCTGCTACAATAGACCCGTCTGTAACTGAGATGACTGCATTAACCTTCTATCATTTAGAGTTGTCAAAATTCCTTTGTAGGGCCAGGGATTTAGCTCAGTGGTTCTGCCGTCTGCCTCACAAGTGCAAGGTCCCGAGTTTGATCCCCAGTACAAAAAAAAAAAAATTCCTTTGTGGTTCTGCCAATTTTTGCATTTTGGGGGGGGGGGTACCAGGGATTGAATTCAGAATCTTGCACTTTCAAGGCAGGTACAGTTGCATCATATATTTTTGAGCCTTTTTTGTTATTGATATGAGTTCATAATTGCTTATCTTGTGACTGTCTTTTGTCAATGAGCAATAAATTTATTTATTCCTAATGACTTTGTACCGTGAAATTTATGTTGCTTAGTATTAATAGATATACCAGCTTTAAAAATTCAATCAGATATTTCTTCTAAATAAGTTTTTTGTTTTGTTTTTTTTTTGGTACCGGGGATCAAATTTAGGACATTGTGCTTACAAGGCAGGTGCCGTGCCACTGAGCTAAATCCCTGGCCCTGAAATAAGTTTATAATTGTTATGATTATTGGTAATATACATGTATATGTGTAGATATATATATATATATATTTTTTTAGACAGGGTCTTGCTTCATATTCAGGCTGTCCTTGAACTCATTATGTAGCCCAGGGTGGCCTTGAACTTGTGGCAATTCTCCTGCCTCAGCCTCCCAAGTGCTGGAATTACAAGTACGCACCACCATGCCAAATCCAGCCCAATTTATTTATTTATTTATTTAATTTTGTGACAGGCTCTCACTAAGTTGCTCAGGCTGGGCTGGAACTTGTGACCCTCCTACTTCAACTTCCCAGAGTGCAGGGATTACAAAGAAAATCTTTTTAGTAAATGTGAATATAACAATCAGTCTATAGTTTCTTTAAGTAGCTTCTCAGGGTACAAGTTCCTTTATTTTATTGAATATTTACCATTTCTTTTTTTTCCTATCCCCATTCCATATTTTCAAAAGTGACCAGTTTAAAGAAATCTCTGCAAGTAATGTTGTTGGTATTCTTTTTTTTTTGGTACCGGGGATCGAACTCGGGTCCTTGTACTTGGGCAGCAGGCGGTGAAACCACTGAGCTAAATCCCCGGCCCATGTTGGTATTCTGATTGGGATTGCATTAAACCTACATGTCAGTTTTGGGAATCTGGCCATTCTGTCAGTGTTGGTCCTGCCTATCCAGGAACAGGAAATGCCTTTCCGTTTTTCCTCTTTGATCTCCTTTTTCAGAGTACTGTAGTTTTCATTGTAGATGCCTTTCATTTCCTTGGTTAGGTTAATTCCTAAGTATTTAATTTTTGTTGATATTATTGTGAATGGTATTTTTAAAAATTTCTTTCTCGGTGGGTTCACCAACACGTGAACCAATGGAACAGAATAGAAAAACAACACAGAAACAACCCCGGACAATTCAGCCACCTGATTATTTGACAAAGGGACCAAAAAACATACACTGGAGGAAAGTTAGCCTCTCTAACAAATAGTGCTGGGAAAACTGGCTACCTACATGTAGAAGATTGAAGCTAGACCCATATCTCTCACCATGTACTAAATTAAAATCAAAATGGTTCCAAGATTTAAATATTAAAACAGAAGAAACCCTTAACCTGCTGGGAGATGAGGCATAGGCAAGTACTTTCTGAACAGAACCCCATATGCACAAAAGAATAACATCAAGAATCAACAAATGGGAACATATCAAATTAAAAGGTTTCTGCACAGCAAAGGAAGCAAGCAACAGAGTAAGGAGACAACGTATAGAATGGCAAAAAAATTTTGCCAGCTGCATCTTAGACAGAGGATAAATACCTACAATATATAAAGAACTCAAAAATATTAGGACCCCCCCCCAATAAAAGACCCAATCAAAAAATGGGCAACTGAAATGAATAGAAACTTCTTAGAAGTGCAAATGGCCAATAGATACATGAAAAACTGTTCAACACTGCTGGTCATTAGAGTAATCCAGAGTAAAACAATACTCAAATTCCATGGGTGTCATCAAGAAATGGAATAATAACAAATGCTGATGAGGCTCTGGGGTTGGGGAAAGACCCCTTCTACACTGTTTGTGGGAATGTAAACTAGTACAACCACTACAGAAATCACTATGAAGATTCCTCCAAAAACTTAAAACAAATTGATTCGACCTACCTATTCCCCTATTATCTTCCTGAATGAATTAAAGTTATCATATTACAATGATACATGCATACTCATGTTTACAGAAGCACAATTCATACCAGTTAAATCTTGGAAGCAACCTATATGTCCATCAACGGATGAATGGATAAAGAAAATGTGACACTTATGCACTATAGAGCAATACTCTAAAGGAGGATAAATTTGAGTCATTTGTAGGAAAATGGATGCACTGTGAGTCCATAATGTTAAGTGAAATAAATCAGACACACAAGCCTAAATATCATATGGTTTCTCTTATATGAGAAACCCAAAGTAGTATAAGTAAAATCAAAGAGCAAAATAAAAGATAGGTAATAGGAAATAGGGAGATAGACCTTTTGCAAAAGGGAAGGGAGAGGGGAGAAGGGGAAAGAGATGTAAAAAGAATTAAGATGTGTCATGTACATGTACCAACTACCCACAAAGTTTTAAATAAACAAACAAACCAAAATGCTTTGGAATGGAGGACTACCTTTTGGTTTAGAGCTTCTTAATGATCTTCCTCTGTCTTCCAGTTTATCTGTTGTTCTTCCACTGACTGTCTTTTGGATCACTTTCTCCCCAGCCACATCAGGGCTGCCATCTGGGTGTAACTTCTGAGCCTTTACATTCAGCCTTGCAACATTCAACATCTTTAGGGAACGGCACATGGTATTCATCTTCTGCCTCACTGGAGTGCGAGGGATGCCTCCTGCCAAAATGACAGCAGGGAAGAAATGTCAACTAACTCTCCCTTCTGTGGAATCAAGAACTACTTTAATTCAGTTACCATGAAAGAACAATGAAGTGTACCCCTTCAAAATGATCGGGATTAGGTAGTTCTTGCATCTTTTTCTACCCAAAACACAGGTTAGAAAGAGTCCTTATAATTGATATTAAGAAACTGAACAATTACAGGTGATTAGATGAAGGCAACAAGGTTATGATGAAACTTTTCTAAAAGACAATTTAGCAGTCTGCATCAAGAGCCAGTTTTCATATTCTTTATCACAGTAAACTGTTCTTAGAAACTTCTGCTAAGGGAAGCACTCAAACAGCAAATTATATGTGTGATGTGTATATATATATATATATTTGGGGGGGGGTAACCAGGGATTGAACTAGGGACTTTCTGCTTGTGAGCCAGGTGGCAGAACCACTGAGCTAAATCCCCAGCCCCTGTGTGATGTATATTGTAGTATTATTTATAATGAGAAAAACTAAAAACAATCTAAATGTTCCACATAAGAATTTATAAATTTTGTTAAACAATGAAGTAGGAAAAAAGGCAAAGAAGCAGATGAACAAATATTTATAAGTAGAATATGAAGTTGTATTTAAATTTCTACTACAATTAAAAATGAAGGTAATTTAGTAGGAAGGACTATGGGTGATTTTTTATTTTAATCACCATGGATTTATGATTATTTTCAAATCTGAAATATAAGAATTTGGCCTTATTTATTTAGTTACCGTTTTAACCTCATTTCAGGGAATGTCAATCTTTTAAAATGTAGTTTCAAAAGACTGCCCTAAGAAACAGCCATTCTATGCGCTTACGTTTCTTTTTGCTGTCTTCTTGGTTAGCTACAGTAGATTCTTCCCGAGATTTTCTCTGGTAGAACTCAGACAGGCAATGTGTTAATTCACTCTCAGTTTTGGAAGACTGTTCCTTATTAGCTGAGGCATCCTGTAGTGACCTGTAAAGTCAAGATGTCTAGAATAAAACAAAATTCTAATTTTCCAAAATGCTTTGTGAACAAAACAGGAAAAAAAAAAATCTGTCATCCTCTTAAAAGCTAATCAACAGCTATCCTCACGGGGTGCCTTCAAAAATAGTTCTTAGGGGCCGGGGATTTAGCTCAGTGGTTCTGCCGCCTGCCTCGCAAGCATACGTTCTGAGTCCTGAGTTCAATCCCTGGTACAAAAAAAAGAGAAAAAAAATAGTTCTTAGGAAGGAAAATATCCCTTCTCTCATTTTTTTCCTTTTTTAATAATATAGTTAGTGACTTTAGAGACCTTACAATAAACTCCCCCAAGCTAATCTCTTCCCAGAGTTCTGTGTGCGGGAATTTGGAGGCTGGCCAGTGGCAGATGTGTCCAAAAGGACAACACTAGACCAGTACTATGATCCCAAGTTACTCTCTGGCTGTATGATGTTTGTGTGGATAGCAAGATCTGAATGCAAAACACAAGGCAGACACTGCTACCAGACACAGATGGAAACTATGCATACAATACAACAGCCATTCCTTCTTTCATTTTTGACTTGACCAAACTCAAGGGTCAAAGCTGCTTTGTCCATAAAACTATCTATATATATAATACTGACATTTCTTCACAAAGTAGTATACACATGTAATTATGACAATTACTTCACACCTGGACTTCCACAGTTTTTAAACTCAGTTTCCATACCTTAAAGTACAAAATAATGTAATCTACTATATGGAATATTGTAATCACTGGTGAATGATTCTTTTGCATTGTAAAAAACTAATGTGGGATTGATGAGAAAAGGAGGAAGTTGAATAGGTGGGATGTTTAGTGATTGAATGTTTTTCCACCTAGAGCTAAAGATCAGTTGCCAGGGAAATTATGAAAAGGTACAATATTCAAAAATGTATTATTGGGCCGGGGATTTAGCTCAGTGGGTCCGCTGCCTGCCTCGAAAGCACAAGGTCCCGAGTTCGATCCCAGTACCACAAAAAAAAAAAAGTATCATTTGCATCTCAATATCTCCTATTATCTGAGATAATCTGATTAAAAGTGGGAGGAAGTTACAGTGCCACTGGCTGACCAGCAATCACTAATCAGAATATGTGCAAGGCTACCAGCTCCATGCACGTGGCTGGTCTGCAACAAATCGATTCTCAGTATACAGTGTGTCTTTTAACAGTGGGAGCATTTGCTAGTTTTTCATTTTGCTGTTAAGTTTTCAAAACATGAACCCTGCAACTAGGAAAAGCATAGAATACAAATAGACAAGTATATACCTCTCACCAGGATTAAATACTTGGTAATGGTTTCTCATAGCTGTTTCAGATCCTTTTCAAAGAAGTTAGGAATGTATTTTAGGCATGCCTAAAGCTCCACCCCATCTCTTCCCACCTTCCCCACAGGAATTCCTAGATTATGTGTGTATCTTAGACATGTATATATAACAAAACTAGGATAAATTGCTACTTTATGTTGTAAATTCTACATAAATATCATACCTTTTCCAATTGTTTGTAGTCAATATATTTTGCAGTTTTTCATGCGTATATAAATAGCTCATTTATTCATTTTTACTAATCTATATATAATATTTTACTATATGACTATGTTGTCACATTATCCATTTCCCTTCTAAAGGTCAGTTGGTTTTTATTACATTTTCACTATTAGTGACTGGTGGTGCTCACTTCGGCAGCACATATACTATTAGTGACTGGTGGTGAATAGGTTTTCTTGTATCTGCCCAAGTATGCTTTAATGTAGAAGTCTAGAAGTGAATTTCTGGTTATCAAGAGTATGTGGTTTCTGCTTACCAGGAATTTTTAAATTGTTCTTTAAAATGGTTGTAAGCATTTGTACTTCCACCACCTCAAGTTCACATTTTCCTAGGTGCTACTATCAGCTTTATTAATTTCTGATAATCTAATGGGTACAAAACTGAACTTTTTTAATTTTTATTTTTTAATTAATTAATTTTTTTTGGTATAGGGATTGAACTCAGGACCTTGTGCTTGCCAGGCAGATGCAGTGCCACTGAGTTATATCCCCAGCCCTGAACTTCTTTTATTATGGTTTTAATTTCTGTCTGCCAGAGCTGAGTACCTTCAAGTGATTGGCTGTTGGATTTCTTCTAGTGAAATTTGCTTGCTGGCATTCTTTGCCAAATTTTTAGTTGGATTGTTTCTATTACAGATTTTTAGGAGTTCTGTACTAATTTGGAGAGTAAGCCTTTATTTGCCTAAATAGATTGCAGCTACCCACATCTATGACTTGTCTTCATATTTTAATAATGACATTTTAAAATTTGCTATAGTCAAATCTATCAACCTTTTCTTTTACGGTTTGAATTTCTGTCTTAAATAATCCATCCTTAATCTTGGGCTTTTTTTTCTTCTAACAATTTTTTGTTGTTGTTCCGGGGATCCAATTCAGGACCTTGTGCTTGCAAGGCAGGCACTGTGCCACTGCGCTAAATCCCCGGCCCTTCTTCTAACAGTTTTAAAATTTTGCTTTCTTCACATTTCACTGTTTATTAAGAATTTATTATTGTATACTCTGTGAGGTAGAAATCTAATTTCTATCTTTTTTCTTATGGGTAGCCAATTGTCATATCACCATTTAGTGAACTGGACCTATATTTTCTCTGCTGTTGGTCACTGTACGTTTCCATATGCACACAGGTCATGTTTGGACTCTACAGTTTTGTTCACTGATCTATTGGTGCACCAATGGTGTACCACCTTATTTACACTGTACTCTGTGGCAAATCTGCATATCTCATGGGGGAAGCGCCTTGTTTTGATCTTGGACCTTTATTCTTATCCATTGTCTGTTAAGTTTATTTCTAGGTACTTTATTTTTGGTAGTGGTGGAGATCAGACTTATGGTTTTATACATGCTAAGCAAGTGCTCTACCACTGAGCCACACCCCCACCATAATTAATTTGTTGACATAAATTATAACCTTTTTTATAATTAAACTAATTGTTATATTAACATATATTAGCTTTATACATTGATTTCTACATACAGCAATACTACTGATTTCTCATAACACTTTAATCATTTATCTGTAAAAGAGTTTGGATTTTCTATGAAGATAACCATACTGTTTTCAAATACATTACTATGGCGGAGGATTTAGCTCAGTGGTTCCACCGCCTGTCTTGCAAGCGCAAAGACCAGAGTTCAATCCCCCATACCAAAAAAACAAACAAATACATTACTATTTACACCTCATGAAAAATACCTAGAGATAATTTTAAAAAATATATAGAGCAGCTGGGTATGGTGGTGCCTGTCTATATTACCAGCACTCAGGATGCTGAGGCAGGAGGATTCCCTCAAGTTCAAGGCCAGCCTGGGCTACATAGTGAGTTCAAGGCGAGCCTGGACTACATAGTGAGACCCTGTCTCAAAAAAAAAAATAAGAAAGAAAAGAAAAAACAGTATATGGCAAATTTGTACACTGAAAACTATAAAACATTGAGGGAAATTAACATAAGACCTAAAAAAAATTGAGAGATATATAATGTTCATGGAGCATAAAACTCAACATTGATAAGAGGACAGTTCTCCCCCAAATTTACCTGATTCAATGCACTCAGTCAAGCCGATTCTACATTTTTAATGAAAATACAGGAGATCTAGAATACCCAAAGCAATTTGAAAGGCAAAAGAAAAAACAAAAAAAGTAAAGTACAGAGTACTTACTCTACCTGATTTAAAGATTACTACAAGTTACAGTATGTGGCACTGGTATGTAATATTGAAAACATTGTGGTATTAACATAGTTTCTAAGCTCTTTCCAGTGATGCCAACATTTTAGAGACTTAGTGCCCCAACTGCAACCCAAAACCCATTTATTTATTGCAAAGTGCCAATGCTGCAATTAAACCTGAGAACTGAGGTTTTAGCATAGAAAAAACAACTGTTATCCAATGCTTGGCTGCTGGGATGACTTGGCTCATGTGCCGACAGACAGGGCTATGCCTGCTCGCTGTGGCATGCCTGCCACAGGTTCATCACCACTGCTCTTTTCTCTCTAGAAATAGGTCTTCACAATAGTAATCAACTGATTTTTGACAGAGGTGCCAAGTAATTCAATGAGTAAAGGATTGTCTTTTAACAAATAGGCATGTATGGTGCAATCAGCACTCTGAGAAGCTGAGGCAGAACAGCAAGTTTGAGCCCAGCCTGGGCAACTTAGTGAGATCTTGTCGCACAATTAAAAAATAAACAAGGGTTGGGGATGCAGCTCAGTGCGAAGGCTCTGGATTTAATTCCCAGTACCACAAAAAGGAAAAAAAAATGGAACAACTAGATATTTCTGTGGAAAAAAATTCCTTAATCTTGCCTCTCCATAAAGATTTTTGTTTGGCCAGGGATTTAGCTCAGTGGTTCTGCCACCTGCCTTGCAAGCGCAAGGTCCCAAGTTGGATCCCTAGCACCAAAAAATAAAAATAAAAGATTTTTGTTTATTTGCTTTTGGAGACATGGTATAATCACTATGTAATTCAGGCTGACCTTGAACTCATGGCAATCCTCTTGCCTCAGGCTTCCAAGTGCAGGGATTACAAGCCTGTGCCACCATGCCCATCAATAACAGAATTTCTCCTTTTGGGGGGCACAGGGGGCTTGCTACGTAGTAGTTCAGGCTGGCCTTGAAATCACTATGTAGCTCAGGCTGGCCTCAATCTTGTGAAAATCCTCCTGCCTCACCCTCTGGATTGCTGGGATTGTAGGTGTGCACCAACATGTCCAACCTTATCTTCTACATTTCTATTATTGTGCTCCTTTTCCCTAATTGTTAGATCTTATTTTAGTGTACTTGGTTTGACTTTTCTTTTGAGGAGGGTTGACTTTTCAAAGAGCTGTCTTTAGTTTCTATTGTTGATTACTGTTGTTTGTTTTACTTCTGTTCTGACTGTTTTTATGGCTTCCTTCATTTGGGGAGGGGGATGTAGTTTAACTCTCTTTACTACCTGTGTTGGATTCTTAGTGATTTTTAACTTTTTTTCTTTCTGGTACCAGGGATCAAACTCAGGACCTTGCACTTGCCAGGCAGGTGTGGCATCACTGAGCCAAATCCCTGGCCCTTAACTTTTTTTCTTTCTAAAATTCAGCTGTACTATACAAGTTTGCTACTTTCTATTTCATTGATATGTTTATATTTTAATTTGACAAGTGTAAGCCCACATGCAGAAAACTGAGAGTTGATTCTAATAATTAATATGCAGAGAAATAAAAAAAAGTTTTACCAAAATGACTCCATCAAATTTGAACTGGCGCCACTGATGTTAGAGAAAGGAAACCACTTCTCCAGGACAGCTGGGCTCCAGGGAGTTGTGCGGTCGAGCTCCTGCTGAGCCCACTCTGGAACAGGGGGAGCTGCGCCAACACAGGGCAGGGGTAGGACAGGAGAGGAGACATTAGAACCAATGCAGAGCTCTGGGGACCTGCTCCTTCTCTGGACTGCCTCCCAAGAGACTTAAAAGTGGCTTCTTTAATAACATTTATTCATCCCCACCACCTACTACTACAGGCCAACATTGTCTATGAAAAATGCACAAGCACAATTTAACAGTTTTTTCTTGAAGTTCTTATCAAATCTCTTCATCTTATTTTTAAGATGTTCCTCTAAAAACATGGTTTAAAAATATGCTATTTTTCTATTCTTAAAAATTTTCCTCTTTTTTAAAGGCTTTAGGACAAGAATAAATAATACAGTGATATAACAGCAGCATAAACCTACAGAATGTGACAACTGGGGTACATTAAGAGGGTAAATTTGAAATAGTATGATGTGGCATTGTGTTGTGGAAAGTAAGAGTAGGTTTTCTTAAAGCAAGCCCGAGGCTGTGGGTGGACAACACTAACAAACTTCAGTAAACTCCGTAATTCTGAGAGCTCCTTATGGGACCTCAGACAAATGAAATTCTATATATCCATGTACTCTCAGAAAAAAATCCAAATACTTAAATGTACTCAAATTCAACTTGAGACTTTCCAGTTCTAGGCGCTATTTCAGTGGGAGATTACAGATAAATAAGACACAATGTCAACTCTGAAAGGAGTTCCCAGTGTCAGAAGGGTAGAAGTCACAAAGTCAGGTACAAATGTTAGCACACACTAACTCACTCTAGGCAGACAAGGGAGGGCGCTAGGAGAAAGCGGTACATAGGCTTGGTCTGATGCATGCTTAGAGCTCACCTGGACAGTGTGCTGGGGAAAGTGGACAATAACACTGATTCACACCCTCCAACTATCGGCCAGGCCACAGCACAGAGTACTGGTGAAAATACTCTGATTCTTCTTTTATCACATTCCAAAATACAATTTCCAGACCTGCTTCTAAGACTATCAATAATTAAGCTATAGGGATGGGGATTTAGCTCAGTGGTTTCGCCGCCTGCTGTGCAAGCGCAGGGACCCAAATTCAATCCCCGGTACCAAAAAAAATAATTAAGCTATAGTCTCTATAGTCTGTTCTACTACAGTACTAATTTTCTATAATGCAAATAGCCTAGACACAATTGGCCATCAAAGTAATGTCACCTGTACAAAGTATTACAATGTTTTGGTCGATATGTGGTCATTCCTAAAGGGTTAACACTTAACACCCAGTAGCAGCAGCTGAATTTGAAGTAGACTAACAACCAAATACAAGAAGCCAGAGCAACAGGGTACCATACCCTTCAGTCCGCACTCTTCTTGCCTGTTTGGCCATTTGCTCTTTCTGGAAAGTGCTTACTATGTAGTTCTCTATTTTTGTCACTGTCCCATGTCCCCATACTACCAAAATCTCAACCCTTTCTCTCACTCCCTCCCACACATTATCTTCACCTTTCTTTTCAAAGGACAAAGATATATATTATGGAGTTCACATACTATGAATTTAGTGGCTCTTTTTAATTGAACTAGGCTATTCATTAGGATTGCTATTAGTTTTTGTCACTACCAAAGATTTTGAGAAGTCTGTCCCAACCCTAGTTTTCTCAAAGCTATTACTGTTAGAATAAGACTTTGTAGAATTATTTTTTTAAATAAAGAAACCTCACCATCACATTATAGCATAAATTCCTGTAATTCCATTTGCTACATCACATTAAAAAATTCAGGGGTGGGGATTTAGCTCAGTGGCACCTCGCCCGCCTGGCAAGAGCAAGGTCCTGAGTTTGATCCCCTGTACGGAAAGAAAAAAAAAAAGAAAGAGAAAAAAAATTCAGACAATGGCAGCAAGGTCTGTGAGAATAAACACAGAAATAAATATCCCAGTTAGTACAACCTTTTCTGTCTTCTGTTGTTCTCACTTTCCTCCTTATTCTGCCTGATTCCATAGACAACCACTGTTATCCTTTTCTACTCCCATTTTGGAACCCATTTCCCTCTCTAGCTGCCTTGTCCTCACTTGGCAAAACCCCAACCCTGGCTACTCCAGTGCTTGGCCTGCTCTGTAACTGTCCACAGCAGGTGACCGTGGCTGAAGGGAAAAAAGCTTGCTCATGAGGGACCTCATTTTACATCTGTGACCACGGAGGCAACCTTGCTCATTTCCTGTCTCCAGTCCAGATCACACATCCTACTCTTCCCCCTCCTCAAGCGCCAATCCTCCCTTAAACCTTCACTGCCAGCCAATGACTGCTTCCTAGCTCACCAACAGAGTTGACAGAATCAAAAGAACCCCACAAACTCACATCTCTTCCACTCACCTCCCAGCAGCCCCCCAAATAGTTTTGCCTCCCCATCAGTTATCATAACTGCATGTTCCCAGGATCAACCTCTCCAATTGTACCTTCTCCAAGACCTCTTACCAACAATCCTCTTCCTCTCCCAAAACAGTTTTTGCCTTAGTACATCAGCAGGCAAGCATGCTACTATTGCTAAAAGCAAAACCAAAAACCTTGACTGCACTTCTCTCTGGCCACTGTCCACAGTGCTAATCTCTTTCCCAGCAAAGCAACTCCCGAACGTTGTCATGCTTGCTGTTTTCATTGCTTCATCTCATTCTCTCTTGAAGCTGCTCACTACTCATGTTTCCACCATCATAATTTCACCAACACGGGGGTATCCAGATCATCAGCAACCTCTGCATCGCTCGGTCAAATGTGAACTCCCAGCCTTCATCCTCCTTGACCCATCACGGAAGCAAATAACCCAACCCAGCATGTCCTCTCTTCACTTGGCTTCCAGCACATCGCATTCTGGGCTCTTCCTTCACCTCACGCCTGCCCCTTTTGTGTCTCTTTTGCTGCTTCCTCATCTCCAGACTGCTTTGTTACAGAATGCCAGGGTTTAGACTCTTCAACTACACTTACCTCTGTGGTTATATTAACCCACTTCATGACTTCACATATCATAGCTGACTCATCATGATCTGCAGTCCAGACAGACCTGCTGAATCCCACACATGCCTATCTGACTCCTCGTGCAGACTATATTCTGATGCCCAACTCAGACAATGTCCCAAACTCCTAATCCTCACCAGACCAGCTGCCTGGCTCTCCCACAACCTTCCTTGTCATGAAAGCTAATTGCTCTCCACTGGGTAGGCCCAAACTCCGCAGTCATTTTCAGTGTCCCTGTATCTCACAGCACCCGTGATCCACGAGCACATTCTGTTGGCTTTTCCTTCAAAATATATACAAAAGATCCAACTACTTCTGTTATCTGCATTGTTACCAACATCTCTTGCCTGGATTATTAGATATCTCTGATTGTCTCCTGCTATCCTTGCCTCTCTTTGGCCAATTCTCAACATAGCAGCCAGAGTAATGCTATTAAGACATAAGTCAGAGATTGTGTCTCTGTGGGAAGCCCCCAAAGGCTTCCTCTCTTACTCCCAGTAAAAGCCCAAGTCTTTTAATTCTTCTGTAAGGCCTTACACAATATGGCCTTCTGCTGGCTCTCCGCCCTGGCTTCCTACCACCCTCTTGGCTCCTTCCACCTCAGCCACAGGCGTGGTTGCTGTCCTGCTAACACACCAGACACATGTCCCTCTCTGAGCCTTGCCACGTGCTGCTGCCTCCATCGCCAACTCCTGCACTCCAGCCTTTGTAGTACAGGTCTTCTCTGACTGCCCCAACACTCTCCATTCCTTCCTGCCTGCTCTTTTATTTTAGCATTTGTCTTTCAAATAGATGATATGATGTTCCTTATTTAGCTTATTGTCTTATCTCTCTTGGCTAGACAGTGAGCTCCAAGAGAACAGAGGCCTTTGTCCATTTTGTTCTCTGATGTATTCCCAGTACTTAGAAGAATGCCTGATTGGGCTGGGATGTAGCTCAGCAGCACAGCGCCTACCCGGCAAGCAGGCACTCAGTAATCTGGTCAGTAAATGAGTGAATGGAAGAAATTTAAATCTACTTAGTATAATTAAGGAGTGTATCATATTAGTAATAATTTGACAATTTTCAAAATAGAATCACTACAATTTTCCATACAGTCTTCATTAAATATAATAAAAGCCAGGATTCACCTTATAACTTTGATTTCAAACTGGCTTCATAGACCCTTTGGCCTCCTCAGAAGTGCTTCACGATTTCTATAAATAATGCTTTAAACTGCCTGAAGTACTGAGCTTGCTTTTTCAATCTTATGTACTTGAGTTCTGACTGCACAGTATAAAGTTTTGATACTGAAAAAGATTGCAAACCACTCCAGACTGTTAGTTACTGGCTCAGAAGCTTACCAGAAGCAGCAGCATCTTCAAATAAATGATGAATCTGATTCAGCACACCATCCGTAACATCTGAGAAAAGGCACGCTGTATCCTGGGGGCTTCCAGCCACAACTGTATGGAGAAAATGTCCTTGGAATTCAGCCTCCTTGGCGTGGAGCACAGTGAGAATCATAGCACTGGCAGAGAGCGGGGAAAGGACTCCAGTGACAGGGGCCCACCCTTCACCCAGGTCCACACTGGCAACCTACAAAGAAGGACTAATTAGCTGGGAATACTGTTGTCAGTACGCCTAAAGAACATAGCTTAGTAAAAGAATAACTGGCTATTAGGGGTAGAAGAGAATTTACTAGTCATATAATCCTAAAGTTTTGATTTACAAATTTAAAAAACCTAACATTGCCAGGAATATTTACTAACCACTCATGTGCTCACTGAATCCTCACAACCACTCTGAGGTGGAAAGATTATCCTCACTTTGTGAAGGACAGAGGAAGGCTGAGGAAGAAGTAACCTATGCAAGATCACCTGTTGTATGGGGAAATGCTAGACACAACTGACTTCAAAATCCATGCACTTAAGAACAAGGCAACACTACCCAATCCAGACTGTCTGACTGACTCCTCCACCCAGTGCTCTTCGCACCAGAGGACTTGGCTCTTACAAAAGAACCCTGTCAGTGACCACCCCATCTTTCTCTGGGCTGTTCCACAACAGGACCCAGAATATAGGTGCTGCCTGAGATTATGGAGGCAAAGCAAAGTAAGAGAAAGAGTTTTCTGGAAGCTTATAAATAATCATCACTTTTAAATCTAATCTAGTTACACGTATGGTCCTTTTCAGAAGACATTGCTATGTTTTAACTATTATACCTCATTTCACAGTGTAGCAGCTTTTTCTTAAACGCTCATAAAAAATAATCAATACATAACAGAACATTTAAAAAATAATAAATCACCCATCACTTCACACTTAATACAAACATTTGGTTGAGCACGTTCTCTATGTGAATCTAAGAACTTAATTGGATCCAAGGTACCTGTAATTTTATAAATGGTTTCTTCACTAATGACATCATTATCACGATGCTACAATCGAGACAGCATTAGTCCCCAAAACATCATCAATTTCCCCAGGCTATTATGTGGGTCAATCCTTGGCATTTTATAAACATACTCATCACAAATTGGCAGGGTGCTACGAGACAAGAATCACACAGCACGTGGAGGACACCTACCAGATGCAACTCTTCAGCAGTCAGACTGCTAGCCAGCTGCTGAAATAATTGCCCTTGAGTTAATCTGTTCTCCTCTGGACTTTGTAGCATCCAGCTATTGGTGCCCAAAGTGTCACTCATCGGGAGAGACCACTGGACCATTGAGCCTTTTAGAAAAATTCTGACTGGGTTCTGAAAGTGTCTCTGATGCATGGCCAAGGGCTCTAGGGTGATTGCCCATGTTTCTTGAATCTCTTTGCCTGTGAGAAAAAAAGAATATTAAAAATTCCAAAATAAGAGAAATCATTACTAAAAAGAGATTTAATAATTAAAAACATCAGATTTTCAGTTTGGGTATTAGTATTGCCACTTAGTTCTAATTTCAGTGCTTACTGCTACTGTCAGCAAGCTACCACAGTCAAGTGTTAGAGCGTTATAAGAAAAACTATATCCAAATGGAACTATAATGGCAAGATGTGATGTCAGAACTTCTCAATAATTATAACTTAGAAATACATAGTTAAGGGCCGGGGATTTAGCTCAGTGGTTTCGCCACCTGCTGCGCAAGCTCGAGGACCTGAGTTTGATCCCCAGTACCAAAAAAAAAAAAGAAAGAAATATGTAGTTAAGCTAGGGATGGGCCGGGGATTTAGCTCAATGGTGGCACCACCTGCCTTGCAAGCACGAGGTCCCAAGTTCGATCCCCAGTACCAAAAAAAAAATGTGGTTAAGCGATTTTTTTCAGTGCTAGGGATCAAATCCAGAGGCTCATGTCCTCCAGGCAAATGCTCTAGACACCACTTCTTAAGCCCACAAAATATGTCTTAGGAGGAGGTTAAATTCTGAAGACTGAATGATGAACTTGCTTCAACAAAAGTACTCCAAAATTCCTCTAAATTCCACATAGCATACAACAGTTTAATGTACCTCTATGCAGATTTAGGAACAGGATTCACCATACAGAAAATCACAAGGTGAAAGAAATCTATGAAGAGAGCCGGGGATTTAGCTCAGTGGTTTCGCTGCCTACTGCGCAAGCACAAGGACATGAGTTTGATCCTGGGTACCAAAAAAAGAGGAAATCTATGAAGATTCCAATGTGCTGGCTTTTGCCAGCATCAATTTGGGATTTTGTAGAGTAATTTATTTCTTCTCTAGTTAATCACTGCCTCTCTACAGTTTTCAGTTTATCAATCTCTTCCAAATGGAAATACAACTAAACACTGATGTGCTTGGGTATCTGATAATATTACATTTCTTTGGGAACAGCCAGGAAACTCTTAAAAAATCATTCACATGTTCTTTTTTTACACATGACCTGATAACTGTACTGTACTAGAACTCAGTCCTTTCCTGGGGTATCTCTGATTTTGCTTACACATTTTTAGATTCTTTCAATTACAAGCACTGAGTGCCTAGGCTGTGAACAATCTAAAGAAGTTAAAAGCATGGACCTTGAAGAAGCAAATGTGCCTAAGATTTTAAAACCTCCAAAATATTATTTGCTTACCTTTGTTTGTTTGTTTGTTTTGGTACTAGGCATCATACTCAGGACTTCATGCTTGAAAGGCAGGTGTGGTGCCACTGAGCTAAATCCCCAGCCCTTATTTGCTTACCTTTAACAGGGAGAAATAATGTTCCCTCCACCCGTGGAAATGAGGATTCATACACAGCGGAATTATAGAGCAAACAGTTTAAAGTGGCATCAGTTGGCAAAGTTGAAATCCACGGAGAGAGGTGAGAGTCACTTGACATCTTTCCTTCACCGCCAAGTATCATCTTCCCAGCTTTACTAACACCCCAGTTAAAAGTTTCAGGTGGCAAGACAGTGCCTCCTCCTTCGTGGAGCAGTTCACAAATTGTCCAGTACCCAACATGGTCTGGGGATTCCCACAGCTAAAATAAAAATGAGAGGCTCAGGTTAGTGTAAATTAGGCACTCATGAATAAAGGTGAAGGAAGTAAGGTTGATATCAATGTTAAAAGATCAAATTACATAATATATTTGTCAGACCAAACACAGGCATGGCCAGCATCCATTACTGTACAGCCAAAGGACATGATTACTACATAACATGCCTTTAAGAAAGCACTCATTTGAGAAATGGACTTCATTTATATTTTCTGTCAAGGAACTAAACTGGGTATAAATCATGAGGTATAAACTATTAAGAGCCAGAAGGGGTACAACTTTTACAAATTAATAAAAACAATTCTGTCTTATATAACATCAGGATGAACAGGTGTCCTGGAAAGAGGTAGGGGCATCTCAGCTAGTGTGACCATCACTCGGCCTTGTCCACTCATAGGTCTGAGTGATCAAACAAGTCCTCTCTGCTTTAACTGAAACCCTAGTCATCTCTTCTGGAATTCTTCTTTAGCCTACAGAAAGGCTGTGCCCTGTCTCTAACCCTTCCTTCTTTATTCTCCTTTTCTTCCAAATCACACATCTGAGCATACTACTTTCCAGAAAACTTTCACCACTTCCATAATAAAATAACTCTTTAGCATATCTATGAAGTCGTTCCCAACACATTATCTTCTATTTCCTCCACCCAGCATCCCAAATTAACAGGACAAGACTAGGGGAATCGAAGGACCCACCCTAGACTACTGATAACTATGAACTATGAATGGGAGGAATGTGATGTAGTCAAGGTCATCTGGGCAGTTCTTCCGCACAGATTCAGTAAGGCCAGTCCAAGAATCCAAGATCTTCTTAACAGTGCTGGCAAAATTGACAGATTAATTAGTTTATGATCAGGATTTTTAAAAACAGAAAGGACCGGGGATTTAGCTCAGTGGCGCTGCGCCTGCCTCGTGAGCACAAGACCCTGAATTTGATCCCAGTACTAGAAATAAATAAATAAAATTTTAAAAAATAAACAGAAAAGAAAGTATTAGAACACAACAGAAAATACCACACGTACAGTGATATTGAATGTAATGAGAAACTTTCCTTTCAATTATGCACAGCAATCTGAGAAATGCTATAATAGATTAACTAGTATTTGCTCCTCCCTTGTAAGGAGGAGAAAGATAAATTAGTTCAGAGACCACAGATCCTGATTGGGTTTTTTTCCTGCAAAATGTATACAAAATATTTGTTGAAATTGAATCAGCCAGAGGACCAGCCAGGAGGGAAAAATCTGCTTATCAAATGAAAAGTAAATCTTTAGTAAGAGTTTAAAAGGATATTAACTTTTGATTAAAAAGCAATATATAAGGGCTGGGGATTTAGCTCAGTGGTTTCACCTCCTGCTGCGCAAGCGCGTTCGATCTCCGTTACCCAAAAAAACAAACAAAAGCAATATATAACCATGACTTTAAAACAGCATAGAACATGGTTACACTTGTCATTTGTATTTAAGGGTATGCAAATGTCCACCGGACTATAAGCTCCAAGAAAGCAGTTGTTTGGCTCCCTAAGGGTAAACCAGCCCACAGCGTGCCATTTTCTAAGTCTTATTTCTAGCCACTATTTGATATGATACAAATCCAGAATGAAATTTTTAATCTGATTTTATACCAACTACTCCAAGTCAAGCACTAACGTGTTGCATACTGGGTCTAACACTTGATATGCTGCTGCTTTAACAAATTTTAATTTCTACAATTCCATTTTTCTCAGCCATTGTTGTTTACCACCACCGTAAACATTTTGCCCTTTTCTTCTTTGACAAAGCACTGCTGCCTTATCTTGCATTTGCCAAGCCTTTTTTTGGCCTTGGAATATGAATGCACACTGGAAATCTTAGTACACTGTATCATTATTTGTTTTAAAAGTACCTGTTGATCTCCCACCTGTAATCCTGCAATTTAACCCACTCCTGGTTTAGTAACAGTGTATTTCCAATAGGTGAAATCACATCTTTCACCTGGCTGAACCACCTGCCAAAGCCTTCTCATTGATAGAACACAAGCCACACTTAACAACCTCGGCCAGACAAACTGGCCTCCTGTGCTTTCTGATTTCTGCTGCTCTCGCCATTGCTTAGTAGGGCTCAGGACTCCTAGCCTTTTTGTTTCTGAAACAAACTAAGCTCACTTCTAGCTCACATTCTCACACCTACTCTTCTCTAGGAGAATGTTCTTTCCAAATCTTCACATTCCTCTTCCTTCACCACTCAATTCTCTGCTCAAAAAGGCTTTATCTGACTACCACCCTCTATGAGTACAATGGCCACCTGGCCCTACTTCCACACCTCACCCCCATGCCCTCACCCGGCTTTCTTTTGTTCAAAGCAGGGTTGGAAATCCCATCACTTACCTGCTCATTCGTTTCACCTGTTAGCCTTATCTGTTTAATTCATTTTCCACATTAGAAGCTGAACTCCATTTCCACCACTATCTGCCTAGCCGCTAAAACAGGGTAGAATGTATCGTACTCAATGTAGCGACTCATTAATGAGTATTTGTTAACTGAATAACAAGACATGAGGAAAATGATGAAACTAAAAATACAGTGCTTAAAAAAGCAGGGGACTTCAATGCCTCAACAAAACCCTATTAGCCATTTAAGACTTTTAAATTTGTAAGCATGTATTCATTTGGTCAGCAAATATTTATGGAACATCCATAGTGTTCAGTGCACATCTGTGAGGGATACAAACGTGCAGTCTTTGAGCCATTTTTAGTCTAGATGGAAAGTGACTGATGTGCACAGTTGGAATATAAAAGAGAACTGTTATGTGAAAGAAAAAAAGCCTGGAAATTCAGAGCCCTTAAAGGCTGAATGAGGCTTGGACTGGCTTAGAAGGGTGAGCACTGGTGGTTCAGGCGATTGAACAGCACAAGTTAAGACAGAACAATCAGTCAAGACCTGGTGACCAGCTAGACTAGGCTCCCACATGCTGGAACCTACGTCCTAGGGAGGATAAATTCTGGGAAGGCAGAAAGGGCCCCAACTGGAGAGGACCTTACGCTTTACTTAGTGGGGACCCAGGCCCTACCCATGTGCTTTGGAAACTGTCCGAATTTTTGATCGCGGACTTTCCTAAGGGACCCGTGGCCATCCACGTTTGTTACGTTCTGGGTCTGGCTGCTCTGTGACAGGACTGTGTCCAGTCCTGAAGAGAGCCCCAAGCACTACACCCGAGACGCCTGTCGCCTTACCTTGGACCACTCGGTGGTGTCCACCCAGAAGAAGGTGATTTTTCGGGCGACCATGACCTCCTGGACTCTCCTGGGCAGCAACTTCTCCATCACCTGCTTGGGGGTGGGCGGCAGGCGCTGGGCCTGGGCCTCGCACCCCGACACGAACTGCACCAGCTCCCTCTGCGAGTGCGGACAGGGCGCTAGGAGGAAGACGGCGTTCACCAGGCCCCCGAGCGCGGACTCGGCCTCCTTGGCCTCGCTCTCGGCATCCAGGAGTCTCCGGCCGCTGCTCCTCAGGATCGGCTTCGTGGGCGACGTGATCTCGGGCCGGTCCCACTGGTAGTCTAGCAACGTCTCCATCAGGGCGCTGTGCATGTGGCTGGCCCGGGCGGCCGGCCCGGGCAGATGGGCTCCGGGCGCGAGACCCCCAAGCCGGGCCTCCAGCTCCTCCTCGAAGTAGTCCCAGGAGAGCGTCCCCAGCTCGCGGAAGTCGGACGTGCGGGAGGGCCGGCCCCGCGCGCCCTGGGAGTCAAAGAACTTGAAGGCCCAGTGGACCCTAGCCAGGCCGAACCGGCAGCCCAGGTAGGTGAGGAGGCGCAGGGCGGCCCGCCGGGCCGAGCTCTGGAGAACGGCACCACCCGCCGTGTCGAGAAGCAGCATCACTTTGTGACAGCAGGCCATGTCGGCCGCGCCGCCCCTAGGGGCTGCAGCTGCGGCGCGCGCCCCAGTTCCTGAGACCCTAGCCTCAGGGAAACAACGCCATTGACTTCTTCCCTGGTCAAAAGTCTCCCGCGCTCTCCGAGAGTTGGTGCTATTGGCGGAGCTAGTTCCCAATGTCAGCTCTCATTGGCTACTTATCCTACGAAAATAACGTGGCGCTTTCATTTTTGACGCTGATTAGTAGGGCGGCGGAGGAAATCCTTGCTTGATTGGTGGAGAGCGTTACTGTGGGCGGGACGCTGGGTTCCGGGGGGAAAAGTGAACATTCATTGGTCCGCGCCTTCGTTTTAAAATTTAAAGAGGTGGGCTTGGGGGCGTGTCAAGAAGTTTCTCCGGAGCTGGAGGCTGGTGTTTCAGCGCTTCTGCGCAGGCGCGGGTGTACACCGCCGGAGGGTCCGGGATGTTTTTACTAAGATTTTGAAAATTTAGTGCCGAGAGAGAATTTTGAGATAGTTTGAAGCAAACTGGTTTTAAGCAACACCCTAGGGCTTCTCTGGAATGGAATCCACTGGCAAAGGCTTTAATTTTTCTGTAAATTTTAAAGAATTATTAAAAAATTAAAATGTCACTCCTTTTGCCGCAGTAACTTGTAGTTTATCTGAAAAAGCTAACCAAAGAGCCAGATAAAAGAGGTATGCACATCCTTTGCATGATGTATGCACATTTGTATGCACATACAAATAAAAGTTGTATTTAATTTGAGAAAATTGGAAACATCAGCCAAGTCACCCACTTCCCTTCTCCTGTCCGGAGACTCACGTTGATATCAGAGATATGAAAATGTGCTTCTGAATCTATGAATGGATGAATAGAATATGGTATCTGGAAAAAAGATGGGAGGTAAGCAGGAGGGTTGGTTACCTGAGTTGTGTTTTGGGAAATTGAGCCAATCTTCCACATAGTTGAGTGATGCCTATTGAGCAATTTGGGTCCCTCTTGCTCTCTACAACCTCTGTTATATTGCTCTTCCAATCAAAGTCCTCAACAGTCACTGCCCATGCTTATTGATTTTCCCTTTTGAGTTTTTCTAGAGCTTCCTGACATTACAAAAGACCAGAAACAGAAATTTATGCTCACAGTTTTGAAGCCTTGAAGTCCAAAACAAGATACTAGCATTCTTTCTCCCTCCCTCCTCCCGTGCCTCTTCTAGCTTCTGATGTTTGATGGTCATCTTGGTGGTCTTCCTGTGTCTTCACATTGTCCTCCCTCTGTGTCTATCTCTGTGTCAAAATTTCCCCTTTTCATAAGGACACCAGTCACTAGTTTAAGGCCTATCTTAATAATTTCATTTTAACTTGACTATTTCTATAAGACTATTTCCAAGTAAGATCACATTTATAGGTATCTGGGAATAGGACTTCAACATATCCTTTTTGTGTGTATGTGGAGGGCAATAGAATTGAATCTATTTACTACGGCTTGTATCTAGATGTCTGCCCAAAGCCTCATGCGCTCATAGATGGGGCTTTTTGGAGCTGGCTGGATCTAGGGTGTGTGAATGTGGATTAAGGGTGTGTGATAAATAAATTAGTCCACTGATTGTATTTATTTATTTTTGGTACCGGGGATCGAACTCGGGACCTCCTGCTTGGAAGGCAGGCATTGGAAACACTGAGCTAAATCCCCAGCTCTAGTCCACTGATTGATTTGGCATAGTTGTGGGTGATACAATTACTGAAGAGGGAAGCCCCACCTTAGGTGTGAGTAGCACCAACCAATGTGCTTGTAGCTTGAATGGAATAGAAAGGAAAAGGAAAAGAAGGCTTGCTGCTTGCTGCTTTCTTTCTGCCCTGCCATGGACTGTTTCACCTCTGCCATGTCCCTCTCCCCTGCCCTGCCTTGGAGCCAGCTGACTATGAACTAAAACCTCTACATATTATGAGCTAAAATAAACCTTTCCTGGGCCGGGGATTTAGCTCAGTGGTTCTGCTGCCTACCTCACAAGCGCAAGGTTCCAAGTTTGATCCCCAGTACCAAAAAAATGAATAAATAAACCTTTCCTCCTTAATTTGTGGGTGTTGGGTATTGTGTCCCAGCAACGAGAAAGTAAGACACCATCATACCTTGTGCCAGTTAGCCATTCACTCTTCCAACAATACTTTCTATGTACCAGGCACTATTCCTACCCTCATGGAATTTGCAGTCTGACAGGGGCCTGGATATTAGACAAATCATGATCCAGATTAATATAATATAATAATCTTTGAAAAGAATTTTGAGGAAAAACTGAAGCATTTGATGAGAGGTTACACTGGCTAAGCTGGTTATGGTCTTTGTTTTAATATTAAGAGATAAGGAACAGCCATTATAAAATAGGGACATTTAAATTGAGATTTTAGGGGTAAGTAGGAATTTAATAGTTCGGAGGGTGGCAGGGAGGGCATGTTAAGAAAAATGCTTGGGGCACCTTTGAAAGACCTAGATGGGAAGGAACACAGAAGGTTTGAGGAAAACAGAAGGCAGCTGGTGGGGCAATGGAGCTGGGTGGTGGTAAGCAGGCTGGGGTAGGAGAAAAGGCCAGAGGGGCAGGGACACAGAGGGGACCCTGGAGGCCTCCTGAAATGTGGCTTGGATAGTTTGTTGATAAGGATAAGAAGCCAATGGAAGGTTTTGAGGAAGGGAGGAATTTGATATAATTTGTATTGTGAGAAGAGTGCCCTGCTACTAAGTGGAAAATTGAACATATGGGGCAAAAATGGAAGCAGTGAGACCCTGCAGAGAATACAAGTCTGTTTTCCAAAGTCAAGGCCTAGCATGGTGGCACATGCCTGTAATCCCAGCACTCAGGAGGCTGAGGCAGGAGGATAACCAGGAGTTCAAGGCCAACCTGGACTACATAATGAGACCCTGTCTCAAAAAACAAACAAACAAAAAACAAAATCAGGGCTGGGGATTTAGCTCAGTGGTTGTGGCGCCTGCCTCGAAAGCACAAGGTCCTGAGTTTGATCCCCGGTACCCCACCCCCCCAAAATTGCTTATGTCCTTTTTATGTTATATTTATAAATTTCTGTTTTTATTTGTTTTTAGTTTTATAATACCTGTAAGTATTAACAGAAAATTGTCTGCATATAATTTGCCATTTTTTACATATATATATATATATATATATGTGTGTGTGTGTGTATGTATGGAGTACAGGCTCAATTTCTATATATTTTGAGTTATATAAAATACAGTCCTAAAAAATAAAATAAAAACAGTCCTATATTCATAAACATCAAATAAATGTGGAGACCACTTGTGGCTTTAGACTAGTGGCAAATGGTAGTGATAGTGAGTCATGATTGAATTCTGGATATATTTTGAATGTGGAGCTAACAAAATTTGCAAATGTATTTCAGGGTAGAATGATCACTAGGCTTAGGGCCTGAAAGTTGAACAAAATGTAGAGAAGACTCAGCAAGGAGGCTGTGGGGAAGAAGAGGGTGCAGAATATCAAAGGTTCTAGTTAACCAAGGTTAGGTTTGAGGGGCCTGTTGGACTCCCAAGTGCACACATCAGGTATGCAGCTAGATAAATGAATCTGGAGCTTTGGGGAGAAATTGAGGCAGAAAGGTCATTTTGATGCTGGATGATGTGGTATCCAGTGGTTTCAAGCTCTTGCTGTCCTGTCCAAATTGTTGGCTGGAACACTTAATAAGCTTGAAAACATAACATTTATTTAAAGTAGAAGAAGAAGATAAAGAAATGAAGTAAAGTACACGAAGAAGAAAGGTGAAGATTCGTCCTGCACATAGGATGGGAGATGCAAGAGCAGGAGGACAGCAGTGGCCCCAAAGTCAATGGTCACTATCTTTTATATCTTCTCTGGAGGTCAGAGCCCCCTCAGAAGTTGGTCTGTGCATCCATCCTGGCCATGACTTGACAGTTTTCTATGATTGACAGGACACACCCTATTGTCCAGCCTTCTTGCCATGCCCTAATTTCCCGCCTCAATTTGAAAATGACCTATAGCTAGCTATCATTGAATCCCTGAGTGAGCTTATCAAGGTGTTTCAGCATTGAGAGGTTGGAAAGAGAAGGAGGGGACAGCAAAATGTCCACTTGGATAGGAGGATACTATGATCCGAATGTTAGTGTCTCCCCCAAACTTATGTTGAAACCTAATCACCATTGTGATAATTTAGGAAGTGGGTCCTTCAGTGAAATGATTAGACCACGAGGACAGAGCTCTTGTGAATGGGATTAGTCACCCTATAAAATAGGTGCAAGGTGAAGGGCTCGTACAAACAGGCTCATCCACCAGGTGGAGACCTAGCTAGAAAGAGCCAACAGTGACCAGAAAGTAGGTCCTCCCCAGACATCAAATCTGCTGGAGTTGGAGCCTTGATCTTGGAATATATATAGGTCCTCCCCAGACATCAAATCTGCTGGAGTTGGAGCCTTGATCTTGGAATATATATAGGTCCTCCCCAGACATCAAATCTGCTGGAGTTGGAGCCTTGATCTTGGAATATATATATATATATATATATATATATATATATATATATACACACACACACACATACATATATACATATATATATACATATATATGTATATATATTTATATTTCTGTTGAATATATATTTCTGTTGTTTATAAGCTACCCAGCTTATGATACTTTATTATAGTAGCACAAATGGACTAAGGTAAAGGAAAATTAGGAAAATTTTATGACTGGAAATCCAGTGCAAAACAAATTTCAAGAGTAAGGAGGTTGATTTAAAAAGATGTGGAAGGGAGTATGGACAGGACATGTTTGGCAATGGGTTGATGGTGGTGTGCCTTGGTGGTATGTGCATGGGGGTCCACTGCCAATTTCGTTTTCTTTTTTTCTTTTTGTTTTTTTTTTGGTACCAGTGATCAAACTCAGGACCTTGTGCTTGCAAGCCAGGTGTGGCACCACTGAGCTAAATCCCTGGCCTAACCACTGCCTATTTGCCTATTTCTGTGTATGTTCAAAATTCTCTGTAATGAAGATGAGGTGGCAGAAGAGAGGAATATACTGTATGAAATATTTAGTATTTTCTCTATGTTTTGTATTACATACATATAACATCTGTCTACTTGTGAAGTGTAATGTGGTATAGAAAGCTTACCTCCCCATAAGTCCCTTTGCGCCCCCCCCCCTTAGAATATACATGTCTCAAGTATTTCCTTTACAAATATCAAACACTGGAAAATGTTATAATTTTTGCTTCAACCATCAAACATAATTTAGAAAACACTAGAAGGCTAGCTGAATGAACTTACCCATATTTTTACTCTCTCCATTGTGGCTTCTTCTTTCCTAATGTTCTAGGATTCCTCCTTTTTATCATCTCTTTTCCTTTTTAAAAAAATCATTTTTCTGTTTCAACAACTTTCAGCTGTCCTTTTAGTGTAGACTCTCTGGCAGCGAATTCTTTTAGTTTTCTCTCACCTGAGAAGGTCTTCGCTTTCCCTTACTTCCTGAAGGAGATTTCCACTGGATAAAGGTTGTCTGGGTTGCCACTTCTTTCCGTTCAGCCCTTAGAATA